TCTGTCACCAGGTGCCAGGCTGGAGTGCAGTGGCACAATCTTGGCTCACTATAATCTCTGCCTCCCGGGTTCAAGCAAATCTCTTGCCTTAGCCTCCCAAAGTAGCTGGGACTACAGGCGCGCACCACCAGGCCCAGCTAATTTTTGTATTTTAGTAAAAACGGATTTTCACCATGTTGGACAGGATAGTCTCAATCTCTTGACCTTGTGATTTGCCCACCTCGGCCTCCCAAAGTGCTGGGATTACAGGTGTGAGCCACTGCACCCAGCCTCATCTGACTTTTCTTAAAGCATTTAGATGATATGTACATTTATGTTTGTTACTTTGAAATGTACATAAATTATGTTAACAGTGAAGTAAACTTTGGTCTTTTTTTTTTTTTTACTTAAGGACCTCAGATTCATTGCTTTGTTTTTGCTTTGGCAAAGTTTTTTTTCTTTTATTTTAGCCTTTTTTTTTTTTGAGACAGAGTCTTGCTCTGTCACCAGGTGCCAGGCTGCAGTGCAGTGGCGCAATCTTGGCTCACTGCAACCTCTGCCTCCCGGGTTCAAGCAATTCTCCTGCCTCAGCCTCCCGAGTAGCTGGGACTACAGGCGCGCACCACCACGCCCAGCTAATTTTTGTATTTTTAGTAGAGATGGGGTTTCACCATGTTGGCCAGGATGGTTTTGATCTCTTGACTTCATGATCTGCCCGCCTCAGCCTCCCAAAGTGCTGAGATTACAGGCATGAGCCACCACGCACAGCCTCATTTTTAGTCTTTTGAAGTAGACACGGATTTGTTTAGCTCAAAGCTCATTTTAAAAGCACACAAAAGTAGAGCACAAAAATAGGATTAAATTTGGCAATACAGAATGATAAAGACTAAAAGATACTGAGTAGTTTCTTTGACAGAAAACTGATTATTCAAGGTAATTAATATTTGCAGGCTGAAGTACTCGCACTGCAAAAGAGAGCAGTTCAGTGTATAAACTGAACAGTGAAGTCTTGAGTTGTACTTTGGTTTCTGTTTATTACTTCATAACAATTAGCGTAGTTACGTGTAGTGTCTGTAGACAACCTGCATTTATGTAAATTAGAAAGTATTTTTGGCCAGTTGCGGTGGCTCACACCTGTAATCCTAACACTTTAGGAGGCCAAGGCAGGCAGATCACGAGGTCAGGAGTTTGAGACCAGCCTGGCCAACATGGCAAGACCCTATCTCTACTAAAAGCACAAAAATTAGCTGGTGTGGTGGCACACGCCTATAGTCCCAGCTACTTGAGAGGCTGAGGCAGGAGAATCGCTTGAACTCACGAAGGGGAGGTTGCAGTAAGCCAAGACCGCACCATTGCACTCTAACCTGGATGACAGAGTGAGATTATGTCTCAAAAAAAAAAGAAAGTATTTTCTACAATATAGTATGACTATAAGTCTACAAAATTTACTTTCAATTAATCTCTTAAATAGGCATTTTAATATTATTTAACTTTTGAAATATAAAGTGTTTTAACCAAATTATGGTAACAAACTTTTTTTTCTTTTTTGACAGTCTCACTCTGTTTCCTGGGCTGGAGTGCAGCGGCGCAGTCTCAGCTCACTGCAGTCTCTGCCTCCTGTGTTCAAGCAGTTCTCTGCCTCAGCCTCCCAAGTAGCTGGGATTACAGGCACCCACCACCGCGCCCTGCTAATTTTTGTTTGTATTTTTAGTAGAGATGTGGATTTACCATCTTGGCCAGGCTGATCTTGAACTCCTGACCTCATGATCCACCCGTCTTGGCCTTCCAAAGTGCTGGGATTGGGATTATAGTTGTGAGCCACTGCACCTGGCCTCTTTTTTTTTTTTTGAGAAAGAGTTTTGTTCTTGTTACCCAGGCTGGAGTGCAATGGTGCAATCTCCATCTTGGCTCACCACAACCTCTGCCTCCTGGGTTCAAGTGATTTTCCTACCTGAGCCTTCCAAGTAGCTGGGATTACAGGCATGCACCACCACACCCTGCTAATTTTGTATTTTTAGTAGAGACAGGGTTGCTCCAGTTGGTCAGGCTGGTCTTGAACTTGCGACCTCAGGTGATCTGCCTGCCTTGGCTCCCCAAAGTGGTGGGATTATAGGCATGAGCCACTGCACCCGGCAGTTACAGACATTTAAAAAAAAAATTTACATTCATTATGACTAGTACATTAAAATTATATATACTTAGATATTTATATTTAATATCCAAAAAATTTTACTATAAAATTGTTATAGTAGGCCGGGCGCGGTGGCTCAAGCCTGTAATCCCAGCACTTTGGGAGGCCGAGGCGGGTGGATCACGAGGTCAAGAGATCGAGACCATCCTGGTCAACATGGGGAAACCCCGTCTCTACTAAAAATACAAAAAATCAGCTGGGCATGGTGGCGTGTACCTGTAATCCCAGCTACTCAGGAGGCTGAGGCAGGAGAATTGCCTGAACCCAGGAGGCAGAGGTTGCGGTGAGCCGAGATCGCGCCATTGCACTCCAGCCTGGGTAACAAGAGCAAAACTCCGTCTCAAAAAAAAAAAAAAAAAAAAAATTGTTATAGTAGATATTAGTCTAAAATGCTTATTAATCTATCTAATAGGTATAACTCTAGGTAAGCATAATTTTAGTATCTTGTATTTCACTAACTTGGAATGCTGCTACTAGAGGACAAACACAGGTGACATGGCCACGCAAAAGCCATAATAGCTCTTTAGTTAACTATGTTGCAAGCTCATATATGTTCTAGTATATGAACAGAGAGGGATTCTAATTCATCTTCATCAGAAAGTGCTGGTGGAAGTTGTCAGGTGTATTTCACCATACATCCCCCATTCGGTGGCAAGGAGATGAGACAGCAGCAGAGATGAAAAATAAACCTTATAAAATTCTGCTGAGAATTAGCTGGGCATGGTGGCATGTGCCTGTAATCCCAGCTACTCCGGAGGCTGAGGCAGGAGAATTGCTTGAACCCAGGAGGTGGAGGTTGCAGCGAGCCGAGATCGCGCTACTGCACTCCAGCCTGGGCGACAGAGCGAGACATCGGTCTCAAAAAAAATAAAATGAGAGCACAATTATGTCTTTCTCTCCCATTGTAGCTATGTATTCATCTCTTGAAACCATTCACAATTGCCACAAGTAGCTATCAATTTAACTAATAATGCAACACTGAACTCTATAAAAGTTCAACTGTAAACCTTAATGATGTATAGCCAATCAATAGTCAGTGTTATTGCTGTAAATAAATAAGAAAGGTAGGTAAAGTTATGGTTATGACTCTGGATACTTTGTTGCCTTGATCTCACTCCAAAATTGTTTGTTGTTAACATTTTTGTACCACCCCACTCTCTGTCCCGCTTTTTTACCGTACAGAAATACTAGGAAAAAACACAGGCTCTTTTACTAACTGGATGTTTGACAAAATATTCTTCTTGGGCCAAAAACACTGGTATTACTGGTGAACTTGTTAGAAATTCAGAAACGCAGACTTTATTCCAAATCTTCTGAAAAAATAATCTGCATTAACAAGTCATCCAGTTTATTGTACACATTAAAATTTGAGAGATACCTTCTAACTCAACATGTCTTTTTGATCTGAAAAATATACACAACTCATTCTGTATGATGTGAATATAACACTCAAAAGTACACATTTGTGTTTATGCTCTTAATTCTATACTTGATTATTCAGAAAAATAGCATATATACACTGATGTTGTGGGTCCTTTGTCACTCTCTTTTCTCAGAGAACACGTCAGAAAATGTTTCTATGTTAAAAATTCTTTTATTAGATAATTTTAGTCACTTACAGAAGTCAGAACCAGTTCTCTACTCTCTCATCTGACCCTGAGTCACTTAAAAATTTTGCCCATGGCCCCTTGGTGAATGTGTGTGTGGGTATGTTTTGTAGAGTCAGAGAATACATTAGAGAATATTTCTGTGTTAAAAATTATTTTCTTAGCCAGGTGTGGTGGCTCATGCCTGTAATCCCAGCACTTTGGAAGGCGGAGGCAGGCAGATCACTTGAGGTCGGGAGTTCGAGACCAGCCTGATCAATATGGAGAAACCCTGTCTCTACTAAAAAGACAAAAAAAATTGGCCAGGCATGGTGGAACATGCCTGTAATCCCAGCTACTCTGGAGGCCGAGGCAGGAGAATCGCTTGAACCTGGGAGGCAGAGGTTGTGGTGAGCCAAGATTTCGCCTTTGCACACCAGCCTGGGCAACAAAAGTGAAATTCCATCTCAAAAAAAAAAAAAAAAAATTATTTTTTTGACCAGGCATGGTGGCTCTCACCTGTAGATCCCAGCACTTGGGGAGTCCAAGGCAGGCAGATCACGAGGTCAGGAGTTTGAGACCAGTCTGGCCAACATAGTGAAACCCTGTCTCCACTAAAAATATAAAAAATTAGCTGGGTGTGGTGGTGTGTGCCTGTAATTCCAGCTACTCAGGAGGCTGAGGCAAGAGAATCAGGTGAACTCAGAAGGCAGAGGTTGCAGTGAGCCAAGATCACACCATTGCGCTTCATCCCGGGAAAGAGTATGAGACTCCTTCTCAAAAAAAAAAGGAAAAATTTTAAAAAATAAAATAAAAGCTATTTTATTGGATAATTTCAGTCACTTTTATAAGTCAGAACCTGTTTTCTCTATTCTCTAACTACACCTTGAGTCAGATTAAAAATTCTGTCTATGGCCGGGCGCAGTGGCTCAAGCCTGTAATCCCAGCACTTTGGGAGGCCAAGGCGGGTGGATCACGAGGTCAAGAGATCGAGACCATCCTGGTCAACATGGTGAAACCCCGTCTCTACTAAAAATACAAAAAAAAATTAGCTGGGCATGGTGGCACGTGCCTGTAATCCCAGCTACTCAGGAGGCTGAGGCAGGAGAATTGCCTGAACCCTGGAGGCGGAGGTTGCGGTGAGCCGAGATCGCGCCATTGCACTCCAGCCTGGGTAACAAGAGCGAAACCCCGTCACAAAAAAAAAAAAAAAAAAAAAAATTCTGTCTATGACCACTTGGTAAATATATGCATGTCTGTGTTTGTGTGTTTTTCAGGCACCATTGACATTTAGGGATGTGACTGTAGAATTCTCTCTGGAGGAGTGGCAATGCCTGGACACTGTTCAGCGGAATTTATATAGGGATGTGATGTTAGAGAACTACAGAAACCTGGCCTTCCTGGGTGAGGATAACTTTATTTTATTTTATTTTTTTATTTTTTATTTTTTTTAAAGACGGGGTTTCACTGTATTGGTCAGGCTGGTCTTGAACTCCTGAACTCCCGACCTCAGGTGGTCCGCCCGCCTTGGCCACCGAAGTGCTTGGATTACAGGTGTGAGCCACCACGCCCAGCCAAGGATAACTTTAATACTCAATTCCTAATATACCCTAAAGGCTTTATTTCTGGTTTTGTTTGTTTGTACAGTGTTTTCTGGTAATTTGGTAATTTTGATAATTATGCTTTGCATAAATGAGTTTCAAATTCCTTTTTCAAGAAAATCATAAGGATTTGTCAGTGTAGGAAAAAAACTTTCCTCAAGATATTTCATCTTGAACTGAGCTGTATCCCTCACTCTAGATTAGTTGTAATTCCAAAAATTTAGTGGCGTAAAATATGGTTGCCCACACTGTAAAAACTAATTGCTACCACCAATTCTTTTATTCAGTAGTACTGGGTAGTGAAATTAAGAACCTACAAATATACAGGGTTTTCTAAATATTTAGAAATTTCTGTTAAAAATTAGTATTTGGGGTAAATGTATTAGAATATTACATCCTTTTTACTGAGCACATTACTAAGTTGGTAATTGGAGAATATGAGCAAGATGCATGTTACTTATTTTCAATAAAACAGGTATTGCTGTCTCTAAGCCAGACATGATCACCTGTCTGGAGCAAGGAAAAGAGCCCTGGAATATGAAGAGATATGAGATGGTGGCCAAATCCCCAGGTAGGTGAGAGTGAAACCGAATAAAACAGATGAGAGATCCAAAGGTCAAGGAGAAAGCAAATCCTTAAAATGTCATTTGGGAAGCTTTGTTCCAAAGGATACAGCTTCTGGAAGCCTGAGTTGTTGTTGTTGTTATTTTCTTTGCTTTCACATAGGGACATTTTCTGTCTTATGCTTTTAAATTATCGAAAGATTCTATTTTCCTTTCAGTCATTTTCTTTAAAGTTTATAGTGAGAGCCAGAGTCGTCTTCATGGCATAGAAGAGACTGCACAATCTGACTGCTTTTTCATTGTTTTTAGGGACACACAAATGTCTGTATAATTTTTCAAAACTTTATGTTAAACAATTTTTTATGTTCTCTTTTTGCATCATGCCTGAAATGAATGGAGTAGTGGTTCCTGTTCCATTGAATTTTTTTGTTAATTTTTCTGCATATTCCTT